AAAAAAAAAAAAAAAAAAAAAAAACGCGATTGGGGGCGTTATTTGTGACCCGTGATATTCACAGGTAATCAAATGGTATGACCTATCTACAACTTGTTTTTGAAGAGAACGCCTTAGCTCGGTTGAATTCGTTTTCTTTTTTTTTTTTTCTTTTATAACTCTTAAGGGTCGCCTGCCTGTTAAGTGGACTGCTTATGAGGCTTTGTTGTATGGAGTGTACACAACACAAAGTGACGTGTGAGTAGTGAACATTATATGGCCTTTGAAATAGCCTTGTTCATTTTTCGTTAACTACAAATGTTCACATCTCCCATTCCTTTCAATTTGCAGTTGGAGTTATGGTATTCTCCTTTACGAGATACTTACTGTAGGTAAGCGTGGATTAAAACAGAAACATACACAATATTGTTTAAAAAAACAGTTAAATAGGCTGAGTCCTGCATCAGATATTAATTACATAATACAATCGCTCCTTTTCTCCAATAAATGAATAGATAAATGAAATATTCCAACGTCATTCTATAGGTGGGACTCCATATCCAGATATAAAACCTCGTCAAATCGCGGAACGACTTCAAAAAGGATACAGAATGCCGAAACCAAGACACGTTGATGAGAAACTGTGAGTAAAGGTTCAGTTTATAGTATCATATAACAGCTTAGCCATTAAGGATTTTCAGTTTTGATTATCTCAGTTTTTAGTATTTGCAACTGTATCTCTATCAAAAGAGGCTACTCATGCAAGGGGGTATTGCCTCAAGCAATCCTCTTCCACGTGAGGACTAGACCAGTCTATAGACTTGTGTGTGTTCTCCTTTAACTTTTGGCGCGCTTCTGTTTAATTTTCACCTGGGCTTTCCACCTCCAAATGAACCCTTATAGCTTTTTACTTAAGGATAGGCATAGAACATCAAGAGAGTGGAAATTGTCCACTTCACGTCTGTTTCTTAACTTAATATTAGAAAATCTTTGGGCTCTTTGTTAAAATGACCTAGGTACCAGGTCATGCTGAAATGTTGGGAGGAGGAACCAAATGATCGACCAACATTTCAAAACCTGCGCAAGACCATGAAGGAAATGGAGAGAAAACACCAGGTGAGATGATTAGACAACATGATAAAGATGGTACTACATTTGCAGGAAAAGATTCATTATTTGATTGTTTCGCCACTTATCAGACACAGTACAGTTATATGACAAAGATGACAAGTCTCTTTGTTAAAATGGAGACAAGGAGGGGAATATATTGGGTGGAAGGAGTGACAGTATAGCCACCAAGTGAACGACTTTTGTAAGACGTCTGAGAAAAAGACACATTCCAAAGACATTTGGAATTAAATATATTCTACAAAAACAGCTCGTAAAAAAAGACCAAAGAGTTAACTTGTGTAAATAAGTGTATTCAGCAGATGATTAAAATGAGTGGGACCTCCTTTCTTGTCAATACAAACAGCATTCAATAAGGCCGAGGAAAATAACACATACCGGGGTCTGCATAATTCTTCAAATCACACAAAAGACGAATCCAATAATTTCCTTATTATTCATTCAAGAAATCTGTAGTTTTAAATGGTATTTTTGCTATTATTGCTAAGTTTTAAGGCACTTTTTGGCTCTTTCCACTTCGCATAACTCGAAAAAAACCACTGCTTTTTTTGCCCTGTGTTCCCTGCACTTCTGTTTCCCTTTATTTTTGATATCGTTCTGTTATCGACGAAACAATAGTTACTCTTTATGCAGAATTAGCCGGGGGATTTGAGCCAATCAGAAACTAAGGAACGTTTTGAATGAACTAAGGACTAGAACTTAATTTTGCGAAAATGGAGCGGTTATATTTCGCGGGACTCAAATTTCGGGATTAGATGAAAAAGAAAATTAGCAATTATTAAGCTTGAATAATCATCATCATCATCGTCATCATCGTGCTTCATGATAACATTGCAATACATTTTTAACGAACAGCTAAAAAAAAAATTAAGCTAACTTTATTCTTGATTGATTTTCACTAACAGATGTACGTCAACCTGAGACAGTATGATGGCCGTCTATATGCCAACGTTCATGCCGGGGATGGGACTGAATAGTAACTGATTGTGGCTATCTGGAATAAAGGATTGCAAAGTTCGTCGGAATGATATTCGAGAAAGGTTATGTGACTACTGGAACAAAAGAACAATAAACGTAACAATTATGTCACTTATTCAAACTTTAGCTTAAACTGCGCAGATTTATATCTGGAATACATTAAAATCATCAATAAATGCTTAATATTACTTATTGTCAAATGGTCAGAATTTTTCAACATATAAGCTAGTTTTGTTTAGATTTACGAAACCAAAAAGGACTGCAGTGAATCGTCTAAGCAAATGCATTTGACTAGACGTGACAACTCAGTCTGAACAGACTAATGATATTTGTCGAAATCTTTTACATTACGATAAGAATTGGCATTTAATGTGCGAAAACCTTGTTTTACTTTTTAATGTTTTGGGCTTTGTAAGGACGCCGCGTAACGGAGCGATCTTGGATTCGAATCCTAGGTCTGACCACTAGAAGCAGTTTTTTTCGTTGGTTGCCCGAATTTCAATTCTCAGCCATGTTATGAATAACCAACGAGTTGCGACTTTCTCGTTATTGTTGTAGTAGTAGGTAGTTGTAGTAGTTGTAGTTTGTTGTTGTTTTTAAATCCTGTTATGTTTTATAAAGATTATTGTATAAGTTAAAAACTCAGGTTTTCTTTTCTACCTAATTTTTCTTAGTGATGACCGTCTCTAAACTTCACTGAAATTTGAAAATCAAATCAAATCATGCGTTTTAAGCTCTTCGATTCATTTTACAATAACCCTCACCATTTGGAAGATGATTTACTTGTCTATGATGATCTGTTTGTATATACAATATTGTTGCAAAAAACTAGACATTATGGCAGACATAATGTAATTTATGGCAATACTCACATGATAACTCGCTAGGCCAGGCTGTACCAGGTACTGCAAATCTAGCAAATGAGGTTATAGGGCTGTGTCAGGGTTAAGTAAGTATATACACCTTATTCGATGGTTTAGCATATGATGCGTGCGGATATTTTGCGAGTTGCGTAGTATACGAGCAATGAGCAAAATGTCCGCTCGTATTATATGCTAAACCATCGAATAAGAGGTTTATTATTCCACTACAAAAAAAAATTATCCGGCAATTGGCTTCTATTTTTTGGTAAGAGTATTCAGAGACATCCTGATTCTGTCTGTGAGAATGACGTTAACAATTAGCAAAATGTATTATATGCGTATTATATGCCAAACCATTGAGTGAGAGGTTAATTATTTTACCGCAAAAGAAAAATGGTATTTTGGCTTCTATTTTCTAATGAGAGTATCCAAAACATCCTGATTCTGTCAGCCACAGTTGCCCCTTTTGCATCCGCCGGTATTCGCCCTGTTGTAAATCGGTTAAACCAGGACACTACGGTGTATTACGGCCTCGTATTTTGCTTGTTCTCTTGACCTTATATGGTAAAATGACATAATAGTGGAATAATAAATTGAGGTATTTACCCAGTAATTCTTCGTTCTCTCCCAGATCTCGAGCAAAATCTTTCCCTCCTCCTCCCCTTTCACCTGCCTGCGGGTTATTATTGTTAACGGCCGGTATTTCCTATTTCTTCTTTTTTCATTTTCTTATTTAGTTGTGTAGTTTGTGGCGGATTTTTGTCGCCCCATTTTTTATTCAGCAGGTTAATAGGTTTACATATATCCATGTGTTATGATTCTGTTAGCTTTGATTTCATTAAACCTGCCACAACCGTGGCTAGATTTATTCAACGCAGTTGTTTGTTTATATTTTACTTCTGTTCCTTATCAGAGAGTACGTAACCGGAAATGCAAGCAGAGTTCGCGCAGAGGTGGCCCTTGTTTTGAACACATGCCTTGATATAAAGAATTTTAATCTTATGCTTAAAATGCTTACATAATGTCTTGAATCATAACTGAAAAATATCATTATCAAATATAAAAATACACGTATCTGCATTCTTTTCCCCGCCCTATAAATTATGATAATTGCGATTTAATGCAATTACATATGACCATTACGACATTACTCCCACTTTGACACCGGCACAAGTTCAAGCGAAAAGGAATGCTTGCCCTTGCTTAGCTTTGCACTTGCTTGACGACCATTCCAGTTTGAAGTGCAGACAACAGACATGAAATCCCTGAATTTGATTCCGTGCATTGGCATCCACATAAGAATCATCTCCAACACATAGAATACATGTATATTTGTACGCTTAAAAAATCAAAAATGTTATTTTTACTTTTCTATCCAAAAGATTTCTTTCATTCTTCAGTATAAATGCTTACCCATGTCACTTAAGAAATCCTGAGGGCAACAACAAAATGCCATAGGACTAACCTTTCACTCTCCAATAATGATAATTCTGACTTTTGATACTCTGGGTCTCACATATTCAGTATTTCTGCGCATAAATTTAGGAGCTCTTGGCTTGCCAGTGTCAGGTTGGCTGTGTATACACAGTAATGTTTATGGTCATTTATCATAAGCTGCACCAGTTGCCATTTATGTAAAGTTGCCCTTGAAACAAGCTCATTTATGCTCCTGGTGTTGCAAGAGGACAAGTTATGCAAAATTTCATTTGCCTTTTGCCGGAGTTCCCAGTAAGATGTTCAGCACTTAAACCTTGTTGATTCAGGTGACAGTCCTTGAGGAAGACTACATGGTCACATTCAAATCAACCCATTTGTACTTTTGCCTTAAGCCATAGCAGAGCTGGTACAAAATGGGCCACTGTTTGTTTCTTATTTAACTCTATGCTGTCTACAGAATGTGAAGTGTCTCTGTCACTCCATCCTGAACTGCAGCAAATAGCCTTGATGCCCCAGAAGACACAGACATGCTTTAATTTTATTGAATCGTACATTGGCTCATACCTGTTTTTAGATTCTTGAGTTTTCTCTTTCTTCATGTTGGAATTGAATGAAAGGAAACGTTAGAGCTTATTTTCTCCAATATTCAATTCTTTAATTCTCAAGTAATAAGAACTTGGCCCCAATAGATGTGGGCTCGTCAAGGTAGCTAAGCATTATTGGTAATATAAATAATTAACACATCATCATGTGCAGCTAGAAAATGCCAACAACAAAATTTATGAAGAGCAAAATGAGTGCAAGCAAAATGGAAAAGAGAGACAATCCAGAAGTAGAAAGTTTACTTCAATATCTCAGAGGGAAAATGCAGAACTTTACTGTTTTCTATTTATTTTCTGTTTACTATTTTCACTGTTGTGTTCACATTTTTGATTTTTTTTAATAGGTGTTATTTCTAGAGTTTGGGTCTTAAGTTTAATAGCATTTAGCCAAAAATGGAAACATACAATTTCATTGCCCTGGGTGTGATTTCTTTAAGAGCGGATGTCAGTAAATATCGACCAGAGGTCTGCAAAAGTGAAAACTCGAAAATTCTCAAAAAAACATAGTTATATTGCGTACCGGTTTAATCGTGGCAGAGGCCCATAACCAGCTCCTGTGGTTGTGAATTTCTCCAAGGCCGAAAATTTCAGTAAGAACCGAAAACAACAGCTAAAAGGAGGTACACAGTTTGAACTAACCAGTGAAAAGAGGCTTCTGGTTTTCTAAAGTGTGATTGATGTACGGTTCAATTAGACTTGTTACTACCCCTCGGGCAACCACAGAGACAATTCCAGCCCTTCGGGCCCAGGGGTGGGGAGTTGTTTAAAGTAGTCATGCCTCGGACTTTCGGTGGTGGGTGGCGAGGCAAATCGAAAATAACTTCTCTTTAAGTTTGTTTTTGTGAAGGTCATCTCTCGTGCGGTTGACAAGATAGCAGCGGACTCCGAATCTCTGGAAAGGTCCTTGTGAAACATGTCCCGGCAACATACAGCGCATCACGTAATTAACGTCAACACCTTGACTCAACTTTATAAACTGAGAGAGAGGCGATAAGTACCATCATACCGTAAGTGACGCATTATGGCTAGACGTGAACAGTCTGTCCACACGTTTATCATTTTGTTTTTGACAACGCGCTAGTGAATCGGAGCGCAGAAGCGAGCCCTAACCCGACCCCATTGCCCAAACGTTCACTAAATCCCCGCGCTTTTTATTTTTTTACAAGAACAGAACAGGTAATTAAGTTCTTACCTTTCATTTAATTTCCATGTGCAGTTTACTACTAAGAACGTGGGTTTCCCTTTGGTGTAGCCTGCGTACGTAGCAGGCGCAAAAAAGGGAGGGGGAGGGACAAAAGCAGGGAAGAGGGGAAACAATATCACTCATGGACCACAAACAGCGCAAAATTGTGAATGATCTGCGACTTATTAGCCTTGAGGCTAATCTCGAATTTTGTACAGAAAACTTTGTCTTTTCTGCACTCTACAAAAATAGAACAGATAACTAAGACGATGGTAATGTTTAAAACAGGCGCCATTTTTCTTTGCTGCATTCGCTACTATCCAATACCACCACAAACTTCCGTCCAGCGTCTGGCACATACTCACAACGTTACCACTTGCTGTTCCCCAGAACCTATTACCATTTTATTAGGAACAATTATTCTCTTTTAAGCCACCACCTTCTGAGACAGTCCTAAAACATAGTAACTGTTTCTTTCCGTTATATATCAGTTGTGGATCCAGGGGAAGGGCCCAGGGGACCCGCTCCCTCCTATTTTTTTTTTACCAAACTGAGGCCCGAAGGGCCAAAAAAAGATTTTTTAAGACCGCCCCTCACCCCCTTATCACAGGGGTCTGGATGACCGAGACCCCCCTTTATCTGAAGGTCTGGATCCGCCACTGTATATGTTATCAGTATAGGAAACTGATTTTTAAGGGGCAAATTTTCAGTATTAAACCCAAAACACGATAATAAGACATGGCGTGACAAATGACTTCCGCTAATACTGTGTTATGGATGACCTTTATGCTTCAGCTGGAAGCTGATTCCAAACTGTCAGTCACTGCTTCGGTAAAACTTTCGCTTTTTGTGAGTGACCGAGTACAGCTGTTGTAAGTGCCCCTTGTTTACTGGCAAGGAATTTTGACTGGCTA